AAAGAAAAAAATGCAAAAGAAGCGAAGAGAGAAAAAAATCGCCCAAAACTTTACAAAATCCAATGTGATGTTACAAAATTGGGCACATGCTATGTTAATCAAGAAACGCATGAAGATTAAATGCCAAAAATCTAAGCAAGAATGGCCAAAATCCAAAATATCCCAAAATAAAAAAAGGAAAAAAAATAGAGTTTAAGAGATTTACCTTTGAAAATTCGTAGATTCAATGAAATTGCAGCTCAATGAAGTGATTTGGGATGTTTAAAGTGTTGGAAAGGTAGAAAGGTGATGTGGGTGATTGAAATTTGAGAGAAATCAAGAGAAAAATGGGAAAAAATACGTAAAATCCCGAAAAATAACGTTAAAATTCAAATATACGGGTTGTTGTTCGAGTGAGAGGATAGCGATAAGCGAGCGAGACTGCATCTGCTTTTATCGCTCGAGGGAAGACTAGCGAACAACTAGCGAAAATAACTTGACACAAATAGTTATGAAAATTTTGAAAAATAGCCCTTTTTTTAAAATCAAGTCTTCGACATACAGATGAACTCAAAAATGCATTTGCTCACAAGTAATGCAATATCAATAACAATTTTCCACGTACTCAATTAAGCTCAAAATGGAGAAAGTGTATAAGTAACTCACGTGTGTTAAGTGCCACTATTTTCTCATGATCATGACTCCAACCCTTAAATTTGAGAAAGGACATGTGAACATTACTTTCAAATAAATATATTTTTTTACTAATGAAAGTTAAACCCATAAGATGATTATGACCTTAAAGTGAGCTAAATTCCACGGATATATTCATTTTCTCCCTCTGAATATAAGCATATAATTTTTTGTCATTTTTCTCAAATATGTACAGACTCTTGTCCATTAACCAACTAAATGACCCTTGTAACGAGCTTTTTGTCAGTTAACCCAAATCAGTTGACCATAGACATAAGGTTATGAGAACCCCTCAAGATTAATTACTACAGTCAAATAGGTTTCGAACACGAGTATAAAATGAACCAAGTAACATAATTTTTTTTATTTTATTATAAGAGGACTAAATATGAGCTAAGGTCATCAAAACGAAGGTCAATTCACATTCAAGGTCACCTTACCAACAAATGTCAGTCATCCCAAATCTCACACATGTGGTCCAGACCCACTCACAAGATCACAATATGTGTTCACGAAAATATGTTCGCTTTGCAAATCACTGCAAGTGCACGGTTCGTTAACAAGTAATAAAGTGAAAATTTAAGAATTTCGAGTATCGTTCCCACGAGGATTGATTTAACTTGATTTCTATTATCGCGACTTTAACCGAATCTATTGAACTCAATATGATTATTTTTGTGATTTTATAATAGAACTATGACTAATATGTAAATTAAACTAAAATTACGAACTAAATGCAAATGTAATGGTTGAATACAAAAGTTGAAGAAATTAATGTATGAAAAAACGTACTAGGATCCCGAATCACCAAGCAAGTTCACTTTTAACTCCTATTTCACAATTTGATAACACGATGAATTTGTTGAAGAATCAATGTTTCTAACTTATTCAACAATCCCTTTCGAGTAGAATTGAACATATTCTCACATACCATTTGACTATATTTTTATGGCAAAGGCAATATACAAGAATGCATGACGTTTTGTAGACACTTAAAGATCCACGTAATGCATATCGGTATATTTCTATCCTTTATGAACAAAATGATGATTTATACCTTATTGAGTTTATTTCTCTTCTTTCGAATATATAAAATAAACCACTCAAACTTACACAATTATCATGCACTATAATTTTGGAGACAAGAAAGTGTATATAAATCATTCAACACCCATCAAGCGTGTTTGAATATCAAATTGCAAAATAGAAATTAAAATATCACAATGCGAGGTTCATCATTCACCTAGTACAATAAAAAGTCTAGCCTAATATGGATAAAATAAAAGAACAACAAAAATAATAAGAAGAAGACATCACCCAAAAACTAGAAATTAGGATTGAAATGTTGAATTTTGAATGAAATCTTTGTTCTCGCCTTCTTGTTAGCTCTCTAATGTATTTTTCTCTCCAAGAATGCGTAGCCCTTTTTTTTGGACGAGGTTAGGGTTATAAAGAAGTCCTAAATGCGTTACCATAAGTGTTTGATTCGAATAAGGAAACCAGAAAATTAACGCCCAGAATGAACTTTGCGACTGCATGGTATAAACCCATAAGACAACATGGTTATACAAAATTTTCACTGTTCATCTCATGTAGATGCTTGTGCAACTGCATGATAGAAATTATTTCCTCTTTGATTCACTTTGGTCCCCAAGTTTGTTTCATCCACCTTTTGGCATTGCTTCCTTCCCCTTCTTCTTCTAACATCTCATGATGGCATAATGTGTTACTTAGCTCAATTCCATGTTTGATTCGCCATTCGAGTCATCTTTCAAATAATTGCATTTTGGTCCTCGAAGTTTCATGTTCTTCCATTTTGGTCATTTTTTGTTTATTTTCCCATACTCTTCATTCCATCTATCAATGTAATCCCACAAACACAAATTTTATCGAATTAAGTAAAATTAAGTCATATTTCAACGTATGCAATATACATCAACAATTTTCCATATTCTGTGACCTAAATAAGTGTGCAAAACACACTTATCAGTATGTACTGTGCAGATTGTACATGAAGAAACGTATACTCAATAATCCACACTAAACCGAACCAAATAATGGAAATGACAGTATACAGATGAATGCATACTTGGTCGCAAATGCTTTGTTTAAGAGCACCATGGAATGTCTATAGCCCAAAAAACATTTTTTAAAAAAAATAAAGAAAATCAATACCCAAAGAAAATAAATACAAAACGAAATAAAAACAAAATACAAATAAGTGAGATGCATGCAAGAATGAATGGACTCAATGAACTACATATCCATGCACCTAAGAAACAAATCAAGGAGAATCATGGATGCTCTTGCCTTTAAGAGAATGATCAATCTCACGACATTTCAGGTTACTCTTTTTAACCTAAAACCTTCTTAGAAGTAGCGATGATTCTAGTTAACCGAATCATCATTTCAGTTAAATGACTCACCTGATTAGCTAGAAAGTCAACCTTGCTAAAGAAATTCTGACTTTTACTTCTAGTCACGAGTTTACGACACTTAGATCTTGTGTGTCCCAATGGGCCACAATGGTGACAAGTGGGAATAAACCTAGGTTCAAACCTGCTCGGAGGTTTACGCTGATATGTAGGACAATTGACCCTACGTTGTCTAGTAGGTCTCGATCCTAAAACATTTGTGCCCTTGGGTTCAGGACTAACCGTATTCCGAGTTTTGTTGGTAGCCGGGACGAACGTGGTCTTGGAGTACTAGCAATAGTATTACAATTTTGAACATAACTCAGACAATACCTATTTCCAACGACTTGTTCATCCCCAACAGATTATCAAGTTTCTGCTTACCACTCACGAATGAATGAAGTTGAGTATTAGATTTTTCAAGATCACTTGTTAAGGATTTGACTTTGGCTTTTAAATTCTCATTAACAAGTTTCAACTCATTCAGATTTTTGATAAAGTTCTAAAGGTCACCTATAAGTTTTTTTTTCTCTCTCTTTCAAATTCATTTACCTTTTTCAGAACAGCTTCATTGACATTTTTTTTATTTTAAGATTCTCCTCGAACAATTCACGATAAGACTCATGAATATCAGTCTCATCCTCAGACTCTCCCTCAGACTTATCACTACGTTCTTCAATCTCAACTTTTTCACTTTTCTTATCGGATTCAATCGTAGCTATAGCTGTGAAGGCCATGAAATTTTGTTCATCTTCACCACCAGAGGTATCATTCTGAGCACTCGAATCTAAGTCATCATCACTCAAGGTCACTGCTAATACCTTACGTCTTTCTTCATTTAAACTCTTTTTCAAGATAGGACATTCATTCCTATAGCAACTGTAACCTTAAATCTAACAGATTGGGTTTTCTTATTAGTAGTCCTAGAGTTACTCTTTTCACGCTTATCTTTCACGAATTTATTAGGGACTTCATTTTTCTGTTCTTGAGACTTTCTCCTATTCCTCATCACCTTCTGGAACTTTTTAACGAAATAAGCTATTTCATCGTCCCTAGGGATTTCAACATCAGTTCACTCACTTTCTTCTTCCCTAATAGTGTTCATGGCTAAGGATTTAACCTTTTTAGGTTGAAAAACGGTAAATTCATAGGTTTGAAGGGATCCTACGAGTTTTTCTATCTTAACAGCATCTAAGTCCTTACTTTCTTCAATAATGGTGACTTTAGATCTAAACCTTTCAGGTAGTGATCTAAGGACTTTTCTACCAATTTTGGACTCATGAATCTTTTCACCTATGTTAAAACTCGAATTTACTATGTCATTCAACTTCGCATAGAATTTCATTCTAACTTTTTCAAACCTAGAAGTTAACATCTGTAGTTTAGAATTTTTAACATTTTTAGTTCCATCATGTGTGGTTTCTAATATATCAAAAACTTCTTTAATAGTTTCACACATCGATATTCTCCTAAACTTTTCAGCAGACATAGCCATAAACAAGGCATAAATGTCTTTATTGTTCCAGTTACACTCAGCAAAGTCATATTTAGTTCAGGGTGAAATATTAGTGGGTGTAGTTATACCAGCAACAATAGTTGAAGGTGCAGTCCACCCAATTTGAACGTTTATCCAAATACGCTCATCCAACACTTTAAGAAAAGCATTCATTCGAACTTTCCAATAAGCATAGTTACTTCAGTCGAAAAACGGAGGCACGGAGAAACCCCAATTGGGAAAAACTCCGAGCACTTTACCAGTCAACAATCCACCATAAATGATTTATAACTTACAGTCTGCCAGACTCTACGATGACACGTACTTTCTGACCTCCTAACTACAATTCTAACTGCTCTCATGGATTACGCTTTCCTGCAGCAGCTCCCAGCCTTATGAAATCGCATATCTCCTGTGGATTAACGAAGAACACCGCGTTCTTTACCGACTGAAACTCCAATCACATTCCCTTGATCTTTAGGACCCTGATAGATATGAAGGAATCAGCAATTTGGTATTTGAATTTAAATTATGATGTTTTTCACCGCTAGAACAAATCACAATATGAATAATGAAGGTTGAAAGATAACATGTGAAGAAAATATGAAAACAATGTGTTTGCTCAAGCTCCATTTTCAAATAAAGGGGATGGGAGTACTACTGGTTGACTATGGTACAAAACTCCATGGATTATGCAAAGAAATGTAAAACTTTCCAAGTTCATGCAAATTTCATTCATCAACCTCCGGAACCGTTACATCCGACAGTAGCTTCATGTCCACTCGATGCATGGGTCTTGATGTAATGGGACCCATAACTCCAAAGTCTTCAGTCAGACATTCATACATCTTCGTCGGGACCGACTACTTCTCTAAATGGGCTGAAATCATACCATTCATCCTTATCCAGATCATTTATCGATATGGAGTCCCGCGATACATCATCACTGACAATGGCAAGCCCTTCCGTAATAGCCACATAAACAATTTATGTGCAAATTTTGGATTTAAAAAATACAACTCATCCATGTACAATTCAACAGCTAATTATTTAGCAGAGGCATTCAACAAAACTCTTTGCAGTCTACTAAAAAAGGTTGTCTCCAAATATAAAAGAGATTGGCAAGAAAGAATCGGTGAAGTCTTATGGGTTTATCGAACTACTTATCGGACTCCAATACAAGCTACTACTTATACCTTAGTGTATGGATTGGAAGATGTACTTCCACTGGAGTGTCATATCTTTTCACTTTGAATTGTTATCCAAGAAGGTTTGACGACAAAGGAAAATGCTCTTCTTCGATTGGAGAAGCTAGAAGCTTCGATTCTCCCCTCATTCTCGCCAGTCTGATTTTTCAAAGAGTTTGGATTCATAGAAAAATTCAATACTTCAGAAATGTTTGGAAAACCTACAAAAAATGGAGATATTAAAAAAGGGGATAAAAAAAAAACCTACTCGCATTCCGTGTTCTAGGCGACATATCTAAAAATTCGACATCTAATGGTGTATTCGAGAGACTAATATTAATGTGAGAAACTTTGCCATCACCTTTTAAAGGATTTGGGATAGCTTGAAGCGGCATTAATTTTACCAATCATTTAATCTTATATATTTGGGAGAGAGGAGCCCGAAATTGAAGTTCGTTACATAAGTCCAAATACAGGTAGTATGTTAAAATTAAAAAAAATAACATACCTGATCTCCAGAGCTTTCATCTCCCTGAATTAGAGTCTTTCTAGGTGCGTGGGATGCTTGATCTTTAGGACTACTATGGTCTGGAATCAAAACTACTTTAGGCATCTTATCAGCAGGCTCAGAGGTGGAAGCAAACTTTGTTGAAGGGATTTTAATTTTTATCTTCTTAATGCCTCTTTCATTTCGAATGCCCAGTTCCCTCTTTCGATAAATCTCTTCAGGAATGATATATGGAGGACTTAACCCCTTGGCTATGATCCAGTTAGGAACCGGATTAAGAACAAAGTCATGGCTCTAACTGGAAGATAAAGCCTGTGCCTGAACCTTGGTCAGGATCGGCAACACTTGATTATTCCACCAAATTTGTTATTTTGCATCAACGTTTTGATGTGTATCCTTTACATACTCTGGAATATGAAAATGTAGATCCACTTATCATTTGAGTCAAAGATAACCAGACGCAATACATATCGCCTGCACTGAGAGCAATATCCAACCTTCTTGGTAAATCGGGAAGTTTTTATCTAAAGCTAAGTTGCCTCGCAAACCTGTGCAGATTATATGCCTCAAGAATTAAAAGGGAGTTTCCAAGTTCACACAAATTTCGTCCATCAACCATCAGAACCATTACATCCGACAGTAGTTTCATGGTCATTCGATGCAGGAGGTCTTGATATAATGGGACCCATAACTCCAAAGTCTTCGACCGGACATTCATACGCCCTCGTCAGGACCGACTACTTCTCTAAATGGACTGAAGTCATACCATTGAAAGAAGTAAAGAAATAAAATGTTGCGGATTTCATCCGTATTTAGATCATTTATCGATATGGGGTTCCACGATACATCATCACTGACAATAGAAAGTTCTTCCACAATAGCCACATAAACAATTTATTTGCAAAATTTGGATTTAAACAATACAACTCATCCATGTACAATGCAACAGCTAATGATTTAGCAAAGGAATTCAACAAAACTCTTTGCAATCTACTAAAAAAGATTGTCTCCAAATATAAAAGAAATTAGTATGAAATAATCGGTAAAGTCTTAGCTCTTATGGGCTTATCGAACTACTTATCGGCTCCAACACAAGCAATCCCTTATACCATAGTGTATGAAGTGGAAGCTGTACTTCCACTGGAGCGTCAGATCTCATCACTTCGAATTGCTATCCAAGAAATTTTGATGACAGGGAAAAATGCTCGTCTTCGAATAGAGGAGCCAGAAGCTTTGGATGAGACAAATGCACCTGGAATGTTATCAAACTCGGATAGCAAAGTCCTTCAACAAGAAGGTACGATCAAGATCATTTAAAGTTGGAGATTTGGTAATTTCCATACGTCGACCAATCATTATCACAAGAAAAACAGGGGACAAGTTCCAATCTAAATGGGATGGTCAATTTGTTGTTACTCATGTATTCACAAACGGAGCATACAAGATCGTCGACAAAGATGGACTACAAACGAAGCATATAAGTGCACCCACCTGCTATTTTAGAAGACACTTGAAAAGTCACAACTCTTATACACTCGTCCCTAGATGGAAGAACGAAATGACAAGGCCACAGAGAGAAAGACCCTGCTATTTCTAATTCCTCTTCTATAGACACAAATATTGGCAAATCGCTCCAATGACTCCGATCCCTACGGAAAATATCTATCGGCTTGTCTATAACCACGGGCCTTCGTATTGACCATTCCCAAAACTTTGGAATAAAAGAAATTTCTCTACGACTGACAAGCGCACTTCCCTATCGTATTTCTTTCTTATCAATCCTCTCATAAATTACGGCATTTGGGATGCACTCCATGCTTTAGGAATGATGAGGCAGAAGTCACAAAAAGGGAAGATGACTGTTGGATCTATTGGACATGGCAGCTTCTAAATTCTCGTGGCATTCACTAATAACGGGCATATGCAATTCCGACAAAGACTCCAAGAGCTCAGAAAAAGGATCTGTAGTTAGCTTTTGGATGTTGAGTTTACCTTCACCTAGTATGCCAGGCTGGGCATGGTACTTCACATCAGTATCTTTGAAACGAAGATAAATTTTGTCATAACTTTTAAGCTCGACATTTCATATATATCAAAATACATTCTATTATGGGAGCTTGTCTCAGTCATCCCTAAAAAAGGGGGGAGAAAGTTAGAAAAAAAAAACGGGCAGTAAATCTTTTAAATTTGTTTATTGTCTAAATCATGAGCCTCCCAAATATGTAAATGGTCTCCAAACACAAAGTGTCTTAGACAGTCGAAGGAGGGGTTGAAGGAGTCGGCCTTTGTTCCCAAACACAATGTGCATTGGAGGTCGAAGGAGTCGGTCCTTGATCCCAAACACAAAGTACCTTGGACGGTTAAAGAAGTCGATCTTTGGTCCCAAAGACAAAGTGCCTGGACGGTCGAAGGACTCAATCCTTGGTCCCAAACACAAAGTGCCCTGGACGGTCGAATAGTCAGTCATTGGTCCCAAACACAAAGTGTTGTGGACAGTCGAATGAGTCGATCATTGGTCCCAAAGACAATGTGCCTGGATGGTCGAAGGAGTCGGTATTTGGTTCCAAACACAAAGTGCCTTAGAGGTCGAAAGAGTCGGTCATTGGTCTCAAACACAAAGTACCTTGGACAATTGAAGAAGTCGGTCTTTGGTCCTAAACACAAAGTGCCTTGGACGATCGAAGGAGTCGATCCTTGGTCCCAAAAACAATGCCTCAGATAGCGAAAGGTGGTAGCCCTTGGTCTTCAATGTGCATGAAAAAAAAAGTTTACGATTTTGAGTTTGTTTATGAGCAAATATTTTCTGAACCCGTAAAGTAATTGCAGCACAAAATTTTACTTTACATTAAGAAAATCTCAAATCTCAAAATCTTTGACTTGTTCCAAAAGTTGAATCCCTGAAAATAAAAATAAAAAAATGTTAGTTCTAATCTTATAACAACCATACTAAAAAAAACTGTTACTATTTATGTGTATATCACATCAGTATCTTTTAATCAAAGGTAACTTTTGCCTTTACTTTTAAGCTCGACGATTTCGTTTATATCAAAATACACTCTATTATTGGAGCTTATCTCAATCATTTCCAAAAAAATGGGAGGGATGAAGTTAGAAAAAAAAAATAACGGGCAGTAAATCTTTTAAATTCGTTTATTATCTAAATCATAAACCTCCCAAATATGTAAATGGTCTCCAAACACAAAGTGTCTTTGACGGTCGAAGGAGTCGGTCCTTGTTCCTAAACACAAAGTGCCTTGGACGGTCGAAGGAGTCGATCATTGGTCCCAAAGTGCCTGGACGATCGAAGGAGTCGATCATTGGTTCCAAAGACAAAGTGCCCTAGAAGGTCGAAGGAGTCGGTCATTGGTCCCAAACACAAAGTGCCCTGGACGGTAGTAGGAGTTGGTCCTTGGTCCCAAACACAAAGTGTTGGACGGTCGAAGGAGTCGGTCATTGGTCCCAAACACAAAGTGTTTTGGACTGTAGAAGGAGTCGGTCCTTAGTTTCAAATACAAAGTGTTGGACGGTCGAAGGAGTCGGTCTTTGGTCCCAAAAACAAAGTGCCATGGACGATTGTAGGAGTCGGTCATTGGTCCTAAACACAAAGTACCTTGGATGATCGAAGTAGTCGGTCATTGGTCCCAAACACAGTGTCTCGGATGGCAAAATGTGGCAGCCTTTGGTCTTCAATGAGCATGAAAAAAAATTGCGATTTTGAGTTTGTTCATAAGCAAATATTTTCTGAACCCGTAAAGTAATCGCAGCACAAAATTTTACTCTATACTAAGAAAATCTCAGATCTCAAAATCTTTGACTTGTTCCAAAAGTTGAATCCCTGAAAATAAAAAAAAAATGAAGAATGTTAGTTTCAATCTTATAACAACCATACTAAAAAAAAATTGTTACTATTCACATGTATATCACATCAGTATCTTTGAAATAAAGGTAACTTTTGCCTTGACTTTTAAACTCGATGATTTCGTGTATATCAAAATATACTCTATTATTGGAGTTTGTCTCAGTCATTCCTAAAAAAATGGGGGGAGGAAGTTAGGGAAAAAAATAACGTGCAGTAAATCTTTTAAATTCGTTTATTGTTAAATCATGAACCTCCCAAATATATAAATGGTCTCCAAATACAAAGTGTCTTGGACGGTCGAACGAGTCGATCATTGGTCCCAAATACAAAGTGCATTGGATGGTCGAAGGAGTCGGTCATTGGTCCCTAACTCAAAGTACCTTGGACGGTCAAAGGAGTCAATCATTGATCACAAAGACAAAGTGTCTGGACGGTCAAAGGAGTTGATCCTTGGTCCCAAACATAAAGTACCCTGGACGGTCGAACGAGTTGATCTTTGGTCCAAAAGACAAAGTGCCTAGACGATCGAAGGAGTCGGTCTTTGGTCTCAAACGCAAAGTGCCTTAGACGATTGAAAGAGTCGGTCATTAGTCATAAACACAATGTGCATTGGACGATCGAAGGAGTTGGTCATTGATCCCAAACACAGTGTCTCGGATGGCGAAAAGTGGCAGCCCTTGGTCTTCAACGTGCATGAAAAAAAAAAGTTTGCGATTTTGAGTTTGTTCATGAGCAAATATTTTCTAAACCCGTAAAGTAATCGCAGCGCAAAATTTTACTCTACACCAAGAAAATCTAAAATCTTTAAATCTTTGACTTGTTCCAAAAGTTGAATCCCTAAAAATAAAAAATAAAAAACGAAGAATGTTAGTTCCAATCTTAAAACAACCATACTAAAAAAAACTATTACTATTCACGTATATATCACATCAGTATCTTTGAAACGAATGTAACTTTTGTCTTGACTTTTAAACTCGACGATTTCGTGTATATCAAAATCATTCCTAAAAAAATGGGGGAAAAAGTTAGAAAAAGTTAGGAAAAAAAAACGGGTTCTTTTAAATTCGTTTATTGTCTAAATCATGAGTCTCCTAAATATGTAAGTGGTCTCCAAACACAAAGTGTCTTTGACAGTCGAAGGAGTCGATTTTTGGTCCCTAACAAAAAGTGTTAAGACGGTCGAAGGAATCGATCCTTGGTCCCAAAGACAAAGTACCGGACGGTCAAAGGAGTCGATTATTGGTCCCAAAGACAAAGTGTCGGACGGTCGAAGGAGTCGGTCCTTGATCTCAAACACAAAGTGCCCTGAGAGGTCTAAGGAGTCGGTCCTTGGTACTAAACACAAAGTGCCATGGACGGTCGAATGAGCCGATCCTTGGTCCAAAAGACAAAGTGCTTGGACGGTTGAAGGAGTCGGTCCTTAGTCCCAAACACAAAGTGCTTAGACAATTGAAGGAGTCGGTTCTTGATCCTAAACATAAAATGTCTTGGACGATCGAAGGAGTCGGTCCTTTGTCCCAAACACAGTGTCTCGAATGGCGAAAGGCGGTAGCCCTTGGTCTTCAATGTGCATGAAAAAAAAAATTTGGGATTTTAAGTTTGTTCATGAGTAAATATTTTCTGAACCCGTAAAATAATCGTAGCACAAAATTTTAGTCTGTACCAAGAAAATCTCAAATTTCAAAATCTTTGACTTATTCCAAAAGTTGAATCCCTGAAAATAAAATAAGAAAAAAAACTAAGAATGTTAGTTTCAATCTTATAACAACCATATTTTAAAAAATAAAAATAAAAATTACTATTCATGTGTATATCACATCAGTATCTTTGAAATGAATGTAACTTTTGCCTTAACTTTTAAGCTCGAAGATTTCGTGTATATCAAAATACACTGTATTATTGGAGTTTGTCTCAGTCATTCCTAAAAAAAAATGGGGGGAGGAAGTTTAAAAAAAAATAACGACCAGTAAATCTTTTAAATTTGTTTATTGTCTAAATCATGAGCCTCCCAATTATCTAAATGGTCTCCAAACACAAAGTGTCTTGGACAGTCGAAGGAGTCGGTTTTTGGTCCCTAACATAAAGTGTCTTGAACGGTCGAAGGAGTCGGTCCTTGGTCTCAAACACAAAGTGCCCTGGACGGTCGAAGGAGTCGATCCTTGGTACAAAACACAAAGTGTCATGGACGGTCGAAGGAGTCGATCCTTGGTCCAAAAGACAAAGTGTCTGGATGGTCGAAGGAGTCGGTCCTTGGTCCCAAATACAAAGTTTTTGGACAATTGAAGGAGTCGGTCCTTGGTACTAAACATAAAGTGTTTTGGACGATCGAAGGAGTCGGTCCTTAGTCCCAAACACAGTGTCTCGAATGGCGAAAGGCGGCAGCCCTTGGTCTTCAATGTGCATGAAAAAAAAAAGTTTGGGATTTTGAGTTTGTTCATGAGTAAATATTTTCTGAACCCGTAAAATAATCGCAGCACAAAATTTTAGTCTGTACCAAGAAAATCTCAAATTTCAAAATCTTTGACTTGTTCCAAAAGTTGAATCCTTGAAAATAAAAAAAAAAACGAAGAATGTTAGTTCCAATCTTATAACAACCATATTTAAAAAAAAAAAATTGTTACTATTCACGTGTATATCACATCAGTATCTTTGGAACAAATGAAACATTTGCCTTGACTTTTAAGTTCGACGATTTCGTGTATATCAAAATATATTGTATTATTGGAGTTTGTCTCAGTCATTCCTAAAAAAAATGGGGGGGGAGGAAGTTAGAAAAAAAATAACGGGCAGTAAATCTTTTAAATTTGTTTATTGTCTAAATCATGAGCCTCCCAAATATCTAAATGGTCTCCAAACACAAAGTGTCTTGGACAGTCGAAGGAGTCGGTTCTTGGTCTCTAACATAAAGTGTCTTGAACGGTCGAAGGAGTCGGTCCTTGGTTTCAAACACAAAGTGCCGTGGACAGTCGAAGGAATCGGTCCTTGGTAACAAACACAAAGTGCCATGGACGGTCGAAGGAGTCGATCCTTGGTCCAAAAGACAAAGTTTCTGGACGGTCGAAGGAGTCGGTACTTGGTCCCAAATACAAAGTATTTGGACAATTGAAGGAGTCGATCCAAACACAAAGTGTTTGGACAATTGAAGGAGTCGGTCCTTGGTCCTAAACACAAAGTGTTTTGGACGATCGAAGGAGTCGGTCCTTGATCCCAAACACAGTGTCTCGAAAGGCGGCAGCCCTTAGTCTTCAATGTGCATGAAAAAAAAAAGTTTGCGATTTTGAGTTTGTTCATGAGTAAATATTTTCTGAACCCGTAAAGTAAATGCAGCACAAAATTTTACTCTACACCAAGAAAATTTCAAATTTTAAAATCTTTGACTTGTTCCAAAAGTTGAATCCCTGAAAATTAAAAAAAAAAAAAACGAAGAATGTTAGTTCCAATCTTATAACAACCATATTTTAAAAAAAAAATGTTACTATTCACGTGAGTAGTGTACGGCACTATTCATATAGTTTTCAACGAAAAAAAAAAGGACTTGAAAACTGGCGGAAAGAAAGAAAGTGAGAAGAAAGAAAGAGAGAGAGAGAGAAATTAAAATAACCTCAATTCTCTGGTTGAAGGGTTCCATATGCAGACAATGCCTGCAATATCTTGAATGCAAAACAATCCGTTACAGGATCTGGAAACAGTCATATATCCCGAATATTTATCTTTAATTGGATAAGCAAGTTCAATCTCGCCCTCCTGATCATGATCATCGGATGATAAAGATGAAAGGGAGCATGAAAAAAGATGTTCTGGTCCATGTTCACGTTTAAAAATCAAGTTATGCCTTGCAGATTGTCCGAGATGTTCCCTTTTGAATTGGGAATCTTGAGAAATCAAAGAGTAGAAAGATTTCGAAACACATTTAAACGCACAAGAGATTTTACTGGAAGTCGGGAGAGTATTTCGATGGTGATATCCCACGGTAAGTTGGCTGCCATTGATGAACACAAGTTGCATGTTCGGTTTCTTCCGATAATTAAGAATATATAGAGCAGAACGGGATTTGGTAGAAGGATTAATTAGGTAAAAAGATAATAAAAGATTTCTTTCACCAGATTGGATTAGGAAAATTGTGGTTGAGTAAGAGTCGAATACGTCGATTAGGCCTTGCAAAAAGGAAACAATTTTGATATTGAAATTCTTTATTTTTTTTATTTTTTTTAAAGTGTCGTAATAGTAAATAAACTTCTTTTGTTAACCAAAAAATATATATTAAAAAATCGAGAATAGGATTTTTAATGATATTGATGTAAGACAGTCATATTATAAATAGAATAGTAGTTGATTATTTCTAATATGATTTTTTGTTGTGATGGTGTTCTCTCTCTTTTTCTTCCTTTTTACTTAGAATAGGAATCCTTTTTTCTTTGTCGATTAGAATTGGATTTTTTTTCCCTCTATTTTAGATTATGATTTTGTTTTCTTTTAGAATCTCAAGGGTGTCATCGACTAAGATTTTGATGGATTTTAAAAATTTATAAATCATAATGAATTTCGTGGATTTGAATAAATTTCTAAAGATCTCATAAGAATCTTATCAAATATGGTGAAATTTCATAAAATTTGGTTATATGTATTTTTAAACTTGAATTTTTAATCAAATCTTTTCAAATTCCTCTACCAATGACATTTTTAAAAGATTTCATTGAATTTTATTAAAATCTCAATTAGATACCTAAATTTTAACATATTTCATTAAAATCCTAAATTATCAATAGTGTAAGTATAAATTCAATTATCATAAACGTAATTACGAATAACTTTAATATCTTAAAGTATAGGGATTAATTTAATTGTTTGCTCTTGGTGCACTTGTAAAGAATGGCCCATAAAAGTGTTCGTTGTCGACCGTCTTTGAAAGAGCGAATTCGAAAACACTCGATGCTAAAGCTATATCGACACCAATGAATGATTGCATGAACATATATTTCGGCTTGAAATATTGGTGATCCCATTGAACATATACCGGGTATTCTCACGTTCACTTGACAAAATTTGCCCATACATGCAAAAACCCATCTAAAAAGTACATTTTTTCATGGATTGGTATTCGATCTTGGAGGAAACTCGTGCCGAGTTGAGATATACTCTCTCAAACTTATTGTCCCCCAATAAATTTTTTACGCTTCGATACATCACCTCTTCTTAGTAAATGAGAGAGACGGCAAGGTGCAATGCCGAGGTATCAAACATTAGCTAAGAAGAGGTGTTCCAATTCTAAGGAGGGTTGATCTGCCAAAGTCTAGAAAATTTATTGGAATGACAGTCCATGGGACATCAGATTTGGGCTCACGGGGTGCCATGGTGTTTAAAGAAACAACCAACAAACAGTTTTTAAGCAAGAAAAAAATTTCAACAATTAAGACATGGCAGTCGGAGTTTCAGCCGATCCACGTCTACACACTCAGACGACCAAACATATCTTTGCTTCATATGACAATAGGTATCTGAGATACCTACAAGTTGAGCACATTCCGCACATTCCATTACTTGATCATATATCATCAGAAAGGCAATATCAACGCGCTTCCTCATACTCAAAAGCAAGCTTAATGGTATCACTAAGCATTGTTACCTTCAGCACAATTATTGAAGGAAATGATCAACGTTGATTTAGTGATAAATAGGATAAACTTTTCTTGAATAATACCGACAACTTATTTGAGTATACAGTGATATTGAAACTAATTTATCTACTGTTTATCCAAAATTCTTAATTCTTCTTCTTCATCCCCTTCTTTCTTCATACCATTATGTATCGGAAAGGTAAGTGAAACATACATGTTCATTTCCTTGATAACTTGCTCCTATCAGATAGAGGCATGAGCCCTAGTGAAAATGAAAACACCACCACCTCCAACTGCACGGCCTAAAAGCATATTGCTATCGAGGTATGAAAGGTAATATAGCCCGCCGACAGACCGCCTGCAGACCATTCAGTTTCCCCATAAAAATCAAACTGAGTTGGAATTTAAGATGAAAAATGGTATCATACCTCTGTGGACTGGCGACAGGAACTTGAAATCTGAAAGTTTTGATAAACTGCAAGATCTGTAAAAGGCAGTTGTGCAGCTCTTAAGAAAAAAATAAATAAATAACTAACTGGCTTCAGAAACTAATTGATTTCATCCTTTCTTTGTTCATTAATTTAATGTGGAAAAACTTGAAGCTTCCCCTAGAATGATGCTATCCAACCAGGGCATAACTACTTGGTTATGTACTAGAATAATTTTGAAAGTTATCAATGGAATGTCAGTGAAGTATTATATTCACAATAACTAGATAAAAGAAAAAACAAAGCACAGCAATTTTGGATCAAATTATTCTATGCATGCACTCAATTTTGGAACACTGTGGGTGGCAAGTAATATGCACATCTGCATGCAAGATTTGGAATTAAAAAGCTATATCGAGAGGATTTACCTGTAAACTCAGAAAGGTCCGTGGTAGTAATGCTGGAGCTATTAGAGCTTGCAACTCTTCGCTGATCTTTATGTTCTGAATAGTTATCTGAAAAATAATCATGGATACTCAAATGCCTTTTCCAGCTTTTTATTATTGTTATCAAGTTCAACTTACCATGCACAAGGAGAAAAGGGTAAAGGGAACAAAATAGAATCATTATGTCCATTGGTAATTGGTGAACAAAATATGTTAATGTTATGGGGGTGTCAGCAGGTAAACTCCACCCCAGTACCAAGTACAGACTTCATCAGAGTCAAATTCTCAACTGCTTAGTGGAGACTCAAGATCTACAAAATGACTCCGTTCTATTACTATAGAGATTTTGCCAGTATATCTGAAAATAAAGCAACCTAATTTTCAAATCCTTCAGTAACTAAAGATAATAAAAAGATATCTTGTTTTGTTGGTAATCCAATAGTAAATAAGTTGACCCGGTGCAAAATAAAAGAAGCAAAGGGGCAGTATCTCGAGTAATGTCAGTGGTACTCAGTTGCACATTTCTCAACTTAGGACCAATACTTAGAGTTCGTTTAACTGCAAGGGTGGAAAGAAAATGTTTTATAGGGAATTGATTTGCTTAGAAATTGTTTTACCTAGAATTGTAATTAATTGTATTTGATTGGTATAACTTTCCATGGAAAATGTTGAAAGTTTGGTATCCGTTTGGCATTGTTTTGTATGGAAATTGTCAATAAAAGCGATAAAAAAAAATCTGGAAAATATTTACCAACCAAAATATCAAGAATTTGTTTTCCTCAAAAATGTGGAAATTTTGGAAAGTTGGAAAACATTTTCTCGGAAAAATTTTGTCTATCAAACACTGCAAAAGTTGGAAAATGGAAAATATGGTGTATCAAATGGAGCCTATGAATTTGTCTTGTGAGCCTAGGTCGCTAACAAAACTAGGGCCAGCTTAGGATTCCAAGCTTTCCTGATGAGCGATCAATGAAATCAGAAAGTTCCAAGGACCCAATAGTTTGGAGGACTTTGTGAACACATATTTGAGCAAACTATCAAGGCTACAGAGAGAAGTATGCACCAAATGCAGCTGATAAGAAATGGAGACATTTATTAGGAGATGCAGGAGAATTTCAGCCTCTAGTGGACAAGAATTGAGAAGTCAGTTGAAAGCCCGACGTTTAATTTTAAAGAAGAAATGTATCTGCCTTCGAAAATCTCAAGTACCCCCCCCCCCCCCCCAACACCCACACCCACCCACCATATATACACATTTTATTAATTTGTAGCTACTGAAATTTAATTTTTAAATTCCTGTCATTTTTAATTTAAGCATTTATCACTTTTAAGAGCGTAATTGTTTATGGAAGAATGCAATCAATAAATAATAAAGCATTAAAAGATTTGATGACTTTTGACTACTACTGATAAATTGTTGACACTAGGCAATTGTCAGTGAATTTACAGTTTTAGAATTTTATCAGTTGGTAAATTGTACCCATACAACTTTTATTGACTACTTCCCTGTCAAATTAAAATCAACCAAAACACATGATTACAAACAAATATTTCTTAGTTATGGACGAATCTCTAGATTTTTGACATCTAGATTATTGTTATTTTTTTCTTGCACTAGTAAATATGAAAATCTATAGTTCTATGTATAAAAATCAAATACGTACTTCGTATCTCTACTAGATGTGTCTTCCCCTACCTCATATTTTGACTTGTCTCCCATAGAAGCTCTTAAACTAGATTCTATGCAGGATCTTCACAAATTTTATCAATGCAGAGCTGCCCATGCAATCCACACCAAACCCAAAGACACCTAACAGTTGAAACACAATTGGCTTCTTATGTGATACTTTGAGTTAGCATGCCATAAGCTAGTGACACAACTATGAGGGCTCCTGGTTTAGTTAGATTGTGTAGCCATATGCATATGATCGTTCTTTCATTTAGGAGACAATAACTCACCTGCCCTAAAACAAAATTTGGAAGTTTATCATGTTTCAGAGACAAACCTCTTCAAACTCGAGGTAGATGTTACGCTTAGAAACAACTGAAAATTTTGCTGACACGAGCAGTGTCGCACCTTCATGCTCCTGCAACAAGGAAACTGTTATTCTGTCTCAAAATATATTGTTATATCAAGCATGTTTGAAGAAATAAACCATAAAGTAAATGAGATGAAACAAAGGATTGACTTTACTTTAAACAAAAAAAAAAAAAGTGTAGAACTGCAGAACAAACCCACGTCTGAAAACAAACTTAAAGAGTACAGAAGCAACTCATATTGAACTCGAAATCTTTATTCAGAATCTGCAATATAGAATAACTGTTATCATTATTTCCCTTCTCAAGTTTGAAGCTAAACACTTCTCTCCATTACATGATGGGTCAGCTGAGAAATATGCAGTACATACAAAGAGCACCAGTCAGACACTATATGATATGCTTAGGGTGTATGACCTTTGTTATCTATACAATTTACTACTCAAAGAAAATAATATACACACATATACATACGCTGCAGAGGTAAATTCAACTGTTATAATGTTATAAAGAAGTAGTTGGAAGTGTGAATTAAGTATGAATTATGAAGAAATTGTAGTCTTTATTCTTAGCCCTCGTTTGGCCCCCATTATTTGTAATTATAATGGTTGAAATAGTATTTTTTTTTTTTTTTTTTTAATGTGCGGTAGGAAAAGAAGAAAAAGTTTTGGGATTACATGTAATATTATTTTATTGGAGAATGTGCTACTGATAAGAAGAGAGAAAAATGAATTATATAATTTTAATGGGGGCCAAACGGGAGCTTTGTCTCTTGTCTTCCTCCACTGGAAGTAGGGAGGAACAGCAAAGGAGAAATAACATAAAAGAAATAAAGGAAAAGCATACCACATTGGTTAGATAATGAAAGAGATGAATTTATTGATTCAAGGATGGGATTTGGGTTTGGGTACCCAAACTTTTGCAAGGGGAGGGAGTCTAAGTCATGGTAATTTTGGAAAAATCCGGTTCAATTAGTTCAATTGAGATTGTGGTGCAACTACATTTAGAATGGCAACCCATTCCATCCTGGGAGATTATTATTATGACTGTCAGCAATGTAGGCACTAGGCAGCAATTTAAGAAAAGTAGTTGGGCCCGTACAAAATGCAGTCTTAATTACTTAATTTTGTAGGATAACTGTTGTTGTTCTCAATATGAAGTTCTCATTATGCTCCCAATCGTCCTGAATCGTTGTATTTTTTTATACCTTTTAAATATACTGGGGAAATAATGAAATGACATAGTAACTTAGTGTATAAAGCACGGGGCAGATGGAGCACCAGATTAAATATAAAGCAAGATTGATTATCAACTTTCACTGGAACAAGGATGGAGATTTTATTTTCAAAAGTTTTAACGAGGTTATGTCATGTATTGAGATACGGCAAATTATCCAGCAGATAAGATGAAGAAAAGAAAAGAAGGAACCTCGAGAAAATTGGGGATGCTCCATCTAACTACATTGCGAACAATACCTTGGCCATTTTTATCCTGGCATTCAAACTTCTGAAAAATTTGCCCAACCTGTCGAAGCCAAATTGTGTCCTTATTGCATATTATACACATACTCGGTATTGACAGTGCTAATTAGTTAAATTTAAACCTGAAGGAAGGGAAGAGTTTCAGCGGATTGGAAGAGAATGAGGACATCAGGGGCGGATGTATACTGCAAACGCCATGTGCCGTCCAATATGTCCAACTCAACTGGCTCTCCGGCATCGAAGCTTTCCACCCTCACCTGCACGCACCACACCCATTGTAAAATTGCCACAAAAATTTATCAACAGTAATCTTATATTACTGAATGGAGAAAGAAACACAAACTAGGGCCTCCTCGATGGAAGAGCGTTGATCTGGAGTAGCGGCAAGGCCACGATTGGTGTCATTAACAGCAGAGAGCAAATCAAATTTTCTATTCTCCAGTTCGATTTCGCAGTCCTGGTCAGTAATTAACAACAAATCACAATAAATTCAATACAACCTAGTAGGTAAGGACTACAAAGAAATTAAGATACCATTGTAGCAGTCGCAATTGGGGAGGAAGAAATTGCTGCGGGTAAAGATGTTCTCTTGTGACGAATCGCTTGAACATGACGATGATTATGAGCTAGTGCTGCTTTTGGAATTGAAATTGAAGAAGTAGAAAGAGCAGGTGCTGGAAATGAGAAGAACAATGGCGAAGAAGCTGCCACTGCCACATCCATTTGATTGGTTATGGGCTCTTAAAAATTTTCAGCGTCGAGCACCAGCTTCTTCCTATGGGTCACAATTATGGTACTAAACTTTAATTTATCTGAATCAGGTTGGGAGACCGAAGTGACAAAGTAGTAAAATTTCAAAACGGAAGTAGAATTTAATGATGGGTATTGCTATTTCCATCCACATTTTTTATATATTCATCACACTCTAAGTTCATCCACTACAAAATTTTTAAATTTTAAAAAAATACTATTTACATTCACGTCATATTCCAATTTTGTCCTTATTAATATTGTCAACTATAAATAATTTTTTCATTAGCCTCCCAAACAGTCCCTTAGCCAACCAAAGGCAGTACTGAATTTTTTCTGAATGTTAAAAAGATAGCTCTGAACGTTCAACTCTGCCTCTCTCTCTCTCCCAATTTATTATCATCATCATCATGAATTTTGAATACCATTTTGCATATGGCCGGAATCCTGATTTCTATATTTATTTGATTTTATTTTCCCACCACTTGTCAAAGCATTTGTGTAATTGTGTTTCTTCTTTCTTACAACTGCAATTTGATGCTGGACTTCATCCATCCATCCCTTCAATAGTCCTCGAGAATTATTCCAGTCTGTTCGTTCACCTCTTGTCATCTTGTTTGAACACCCTATTCTAATGATGGATGGCCAGCTAAAATTGCTACCGAAACTGTGAGCAAGGACCTTCCACCTCAAAGCAAAAGCATCTCGACTCCTCCGTCAACTACTTTTACCAGAAGCATCCCCTCTTATCCCTCTCCAAAATCTGACTTTGGTAGGGCTAGCTNCAAAAAAAAAAACTAGTGGATCAATTTAGAGTTATGTATTTTTATTTAATTTTGTTTATGTCTATTTAAGTAAATTTACATATGACTTAAAATATAATAAAATTTAATTTTTAAATGTGGATGTATATATAAAAAGCGTGGATAGAAATAGCGGTACCCTTTAATGATTTATTTAAAATAAAATTGATGTTTAGTGACTATTCAAGATTGAATTTTAATGATACGATTAAAATTAAATTAAACTGTTATCGACTAATTGAGACAAATTAAAATTTTAGTTTAATCAATTGAAACTTTACTTCAATTCAATTATTGTACTTGAAATTTGGAGTTGCGAAACTAAAATCTATCTCAATAGAGACATTGAACTACAATTTATCCTTCGTTCGACCACATAATACATTTTCAACCACTCGTTCTATCCAAAAAAAAAAAAAAAAAAATTAAAAAATTAAAATAAAAAAAAANAAAAAAAAAAAAAAAATTCAAAAATTAAAATATCAAATAATAGGGATCAAACGGGAGCATATTTCAATTGAATCACTCAACTTTAATTTTGATTTCAAAATTTACTGAATGGAATTTAGGGCCTGTTTGGTATGGATTTTGATTTTCTACAGTAAATCAATTCTCATTTTCAACCACACATTCTTCAATAAAATAATATTTTTCATCACATCAATAATTTTTTCTTCTTTTTCAACCACGCATTTTCCATCATATCACTATTCAAAAATCAATTCTTCCCCAAAAAATCCCTACCAAACAGGCTCTTAAGCTTAATTTGATAATCATTTTCAACACACATTTACACAGTAAGTCCTTGTTTGATTCTTTTTACTGTACTTAATTCATTTTTCATACTCATTTTCAATCACATATTTATATAGTCCATGTTTGAGCCACATTAAAATTTTCATTCTCATTATTTTACTCATTTTCAACCACACATTTTTCAATAAAATAATATTTTTCATCACATCAATAAATTTTCCTTTTTTTTCAATTACACATTATCCATCAATCTACTATTTCAAAATACATTCTTCCAAAAGAGTAATACGTTTAGCCCCTGTTTGTTGAGGACTAAAATCGGATTTTTAATGTATTTTGATAAAAATTGATGATGTGTGTGATATGAAAATTGTGGTCCCATAAAATGTGAATAAAGCTAATTATTAAATTTGATCTATATGAAAATTTGGATTTTAATTTTTAACAAACATGGATAATATCATTGAATAATGTTGTTTTACAAGATGAATTTAACACCTTGGTTGACAGATTAAATGTGTAGCAAAAAATAATTGGATTATAGCGTTGAGGGTTAAAGAATCTGGCAGCATAGCGGAATTAATATCATTTTCAATTAAACTATTTATACAATCATACTTGAAAATAATGGATAATAATTGTGATATTGTCAAAATTCGGGCCAGTGGTTTAAAAAAAAGGGTTTTTTAAATTGTTGAATGTGAGGTTATCAAGAATTGTCAACCAATATCGCCAAAAGTAATATTATTTATCATTACGATAATGATGGAATATCGATTATGTGTTAACCTATTATCTCTAGTATTTATCTCTTTCCTTCATCTCTTTTTCAAAAATTGAACTGTCAAATCTCATTATTTCATCACACATCATCGATGTTTCGTCGTGACGATAAATAACATTATTTTATTATCAAGTTAAATGTAGCAGGATTCTATCATTTTATGATGGAGACGATATACACCTGTACGCGCCATTACGTGACTGCATATCTCACAATTTGAAAAAGAAAAAAAATAAATAATATAGAGGAATTCACAAGAATAAAAGTACATACGTGGAAGAGGCCATTGAGAGGTTCCACCGTTCCAGCGGTTTCTCTGCGCCTTCACATCCCTTAACTTTACTCTGTTGGATTTGATCCAATTTCTATTTTAATTCATCTGGTATGTACATCGCCCATCTCAATTTTTTCTCTCCCATTAAATTTACACATTTAATTTTGTTGTAGAAATATAAATTCTGCTATTCCTTTGTTATGTTATGAGTGTGAGTATTAATTATATGCCGTGAGTTCTGCTGGATTGAGGTTTTTTTTTTCTTATTTTTGTTTTGGTTTAGGAATTAATGATACCATTGTTATTATTATTTTGTGTGTTTTACAATTATACATAATTTGAATGAATTTTAGGAAAATTCCGTGGGTTAACGCTGTCGATCTTAATTGATTATTGAAATTGAAGTCAACTTTGGTGTTTTTGATGTCTGGATTCCCTCCTCACAGTTTTTATAAATCCAGCTTTAGTTCTTTCCTGTAAAACGCATTGATTTTTTGGGATTATTTTTTCTTAAAATCAGTTCTCTTGTTCACGGTCAATGTTGTTAGCATATTTACTCAATATTATCAAGAATGTGGAATTGATTAGTTGCTTTATAACATATGTAATTTCAGCTTTCAAAAACTGGTTAAATATGAAGAAATCAATCTTTTTAGCTTAGTTGGGTAAGCATTTTTTGTTTCAATTAATTAGTTAGTTTTATACCTTGATTACTTTGTTCGTGCTTAGAATATTAACTGCACTTTTCTACCACAAAATAGTGCAAACTACACAAGCATAACTGTTAAGTATGTGTAATCTTCATAGGATAATTTAGTTTCTCAATTTGAAAGATGCCCCCCCAACCCCCTAAAGTTGAAATGATTCTAAACAACGTATATTTATTATGGAGGTGTGGAGAACAAAGAAACCTAGTCAAAGCTACTAAGTTTTGGTGATTTGTTATTAGCTTCTCAGTACAGAAATTCATTCTAGTGATTAGAGAAATATTACATTGGGGCCAATCATTCTACTGAACTTAACCCTTGATTAGGTATTTGACTGGCTGATCTTTCCCTGGATAGTTTAGCCTTGAGAACTTAGCCAAACACCCAGTATTTACATTAAATGTCACATGAATATTTCATACATAGAGGTTTCAATCTAATCCAAAGTAATCTCATGAATATATTAGCAGTTACTGGAGCTAACTTGGCACAAAATTTTCAGGTAATGGCTGAAGAATCTAAAAAGGATGTTGGGGAGTCCCCTACATCTACAGATACTGAGGTTAAGACAACAAAGAAGAAGGGAATACTATCAAGAATGTGGAATGCACTTTTTAGATTACATGGAGATGATTTTGAGAAGAGACTGAAATACTTAACAAAGGAAGAGGTTGATGTTCTTGCCAGAATTAGAAGGCGTTCTCAGCGTTGGCGATGGATGGCTCGGAATCTTATTATACTTTCCGTGCTATTGGAGGTACATTAACCTCCTCTGTACCATTCAAATTACAGATGAGATGGAGACGTGATTTGCGTATAATATTGTAGTCTTATGATCACCACTTTTGCATAGCAATGTGGACTGTTATCCATCACCTTACTATATGGATGTATAAATTTGGTAATACTTCAAAACACATATGACAGGTATAAAATAATTTTTTTTTACATAGAGAGAGAAAATATTTCTAATGATTTCTCCTTCTATCCTCTTCCTCTCCTATTACTACATGAAATTTTACTGGCAAAATCTTGACCGATTAATCGAAGTGGATCCATGGATCATGGTACAAATAATGAGTAGGGCCGAGCACCACGCTACTCGTATATATGTGAGCCCCCCTCGATAATGTACGATTCTCACTACATAAGGCTCACACATAGTTGCTATTTTGGATTCTGCCCTTTATTTTTATTTCTTTTTCTTTTTTCCATCAGCCTCATCAGCTCCTTTAGTCATGGAAGGCATCTAACCCCACACACTTATCTCCTCCTCTTCATTCGTAAAGGCTTATGATTCTGCTTGGAATGATACATTGTGTACTTGATCTCTTTCCATCGATATTTTAAAATCCCATTAAGGCTTTCAATTTTTTCAAATTTCTAATTTCATTCGAATTGCTGCATTCATAAGTTGGTAAATGCTTTTCCTATATGTGATTTTTTTATTACATGGTTATTCCTAGATATGCACTAAATACTGCCCTCTTATATTCAGGAAAGAATTGCCAAAAACTTTGATGTCACAGACATGGTGGTTCTTTTAGAAATGGAGAATTGATGTATTTTGGATGGAGGGAATAAACAAAAAATAGAAGACATTATAGGATGAAAGAGTATAATTATAGATATATACTCCTCTTTTCTTTATTATTATCATTTTCTGAAGGGAGGTGCTTGAGAAATTGTATCTGTTTGTAGGTAAATTAGAGAAACAATAATTCAGTGCATTCTGAATAGCAAGCATATGGACTTGTGGAAATGAATTTAGTTGAATTATTTTCTGGATGAATATGAACTTTGTGAAACGAATGATTCAGCTTTTCTGCAATAGTGAGTGTATATTATCTTTCTGTCTCTAACTCTCTCGATGGGATTGTGACACATTTGAAAAATTACTTTAGAAAGTCTTTGTAATGTTGTTATATTCAATAGCAATCTGTTGTTATAAATCAACTGTCAAATGGAACAAGCCTGGAACTTTGATAACTTACAAGCTGCTTTGACTTCTCTTGGTGAGGAAAAGATCACTTGATAAAACTCAAAAGTGTCTGGATGATGAAGAGAAGAGTCATAATATATGCTTTAATTGTCTTGATGACATCTAGTTGCATGCTTTCCCTTCTCATGAAATGGACTTTCCTTTTGCTTTAAAGATTCTCATTTGGAAAGACTTTGAGTTCATTTATCTTAGTTATTCTACTTCATGAAGGTGGGAGTACTTTTTGTGGCCTTTTTTTGTGTTGGGAGTAAAGCAGTTTTGTTTGTTTCTGTGCTCTCTTGATGTAATTTGTTTCTATGAGTGCTGTGGCTTAGTATAATGTTATCATAAATTTCTTTCAGGTAATTGCAGTGGGTTATGCTATCATGACTACAAGATCATTAGACTTGAACTGGAAAATGAGAGCTTTGCGAGTCTTGCCTATGTTTCTTCTGCCTGCATTATCTTTCATTTCTTATTCAGCAGTAGGAAGCTTCACAAGAATGTGTAAGTATTCTAGTCTTGTTTCCAGTCTATTTCTACACATATAACGAACCTCAGTAGTGTGTTAATTTTTGCTAACTAATACCGTAATTATTTATTTATTTATCTTGCTTTTTTACTACATTTATCTAGTTTTGTGTTGCCTTTAAATTAATGCAAGTACTATTGCTGTTTTTACTGCAGTTTGATAGCAACAAGTTCAAATGCTAAGATTGTTCAGTTAGGCAATTTCAGTTCTTGATGAAAAGGCTATTAACTTTTTGCAATATGAAGATATGGGAGTATTATGTGAATTATGTCCACAGGCGAATTAACAACCTTCATATGAGACTTTTGAAGAGTTAAATACATTGGAATTCATGTTTTAGCAGAAATCCGAAAAAATTGGAAATTGTATAGTTTAACTAGGATCTGATGGAACTGAGTCCATAGGTTGAGATGAAGGTGGATATTTCTGGGGATATTGGATCATCATGAATAAATTTGTTTCCTGAGTATGAAATATTCCGTTCAATACCTTTTCATATATGATTGTGGGTGTTGGCTCAATGATAAAGTTTTGTGACCTATAGGCAATTGTTTGAGCTGCAGAAGGTTCTTAGAAATTTTGTAACTTCACATTTTAATCAACCAAGAAATAGTCTGAAAATATCTTACATACGTACTTTTCCCTGAGTGCACTCTTAAGGAAACTTGCCACATGTCCTTTTTATCTTAGATAAGTGGGATTAAATTATTTCATAATGATTTTGCCTGCTCATATATTTTGTACCTATTGTTTCATTTTACCTGCACTTATTTCTATATGAACAAAGCTTAGTGACCAGAAAAAAACTTACAGAAAACCTACAGAACACACACAATAGGTGGGGTCCATTTTGTTGAACAATATTTAATTCACATGGGGCCCACCCCCATGTGAGTATCTGGAATTATTCTGTAGAAATGTTTTCTGTACAAACATAATTTCCCTTTCTATATCTTGTCATTTTATGATTATCCCCATCGCATGTTCTGTTTTCCTCCACCAACTCTCTGATATTCTTGATTTGGCTTTAGATCTACCCTACGAAGGTGCCTGTATTGACCCCATCAAAATCCTAGAAATTAGTTGTGGTGGATAGTGATGACATTATGTAGGCTGGAAAAGCAGTAGGCGAGATAGTATTATATGTGGAAATACTGATTTGTTATCAGTTTGTTACATATTGGTAAACTGAAGATGTTTGATTAGTCATTTTGTTACCTGCAATATTGATTTCCTTCGTTCTCTAGAAAGTTTTTAGCTCAGCCTGTCACTGAATCAGTGATCCTAGCATTTCCCAGGTCAATCTGAAGGGATGGTTCAACTGGCTGAACTTATCATGATTTCATAATAAAATTTCGTTTTTCCTTTAGAAAATAGTTGTAAATAACAAGAGCAGAAAATCGAGGACATCATCAAGAAAATAACCAGAAGAAGCATTTGCCAAGTTGATCGCATAAATAATATTCAGAGTGAAGCCCATAAACCATCCTCAGAATTTAATTTATTTGTCAATGTCCAACCGTGGCAGATTTCCTCCAGGCCATTGTCTATTATTGTAAACTCAAGGGAACAAATGATATTCATAAAGAAAAGTAGAAATCTTAAATCACAATGATTTTAAGTTTAGGGAGGATAAAAATTAGAAACTTAGAATTATGTCCGCACGTGTGTGTGTGAGAGAGAAATTATCTAGACTTGAGTGGAGATGTCAAGGGTGAGGTGGCAGGCTGGCTTGCAGGCTGTTACTTGGGTCGTGGAGGCAGGAGGGCTTAGAGACTTGCCACAATAAGCTAGTGAAAGTCTAAGAAACAGATAGAGCAAGGACTTTTCACCCTTCTTTTCTTAGCCAATCTGAAAATACTGATCTCAGCTGGTTAGTCCTGTGCATTGGTATGGATTTAAGATTTGGTGGTATTTCATGGATTCTTAAATCTTGCCTAAGTTTATTGAATCTGGGAGTTTGTGACAAATGATTGCCCAAGTTTTGAAAATTACTCATAATTGTAGAATAAATTTTCATATAAAATCAATGCATGTATAATTTTTATCAAACTTGTAACTGATGAGTTTTTAATGAATGAGCCCTACTTGATACTGTTTTTTTTTCCAATTCATCGGAGTTTTTCTGCTAGTTTCTTAGTTTAGACAGTCGAGTCTTTAAACAGCAAACATCATCAAATCAAACAGCTAAAGACATCTTTGAGAATATAATAAGAGTTCCCTCAAATCAATTGGACCCTCAAATTGGAATTGGGCGATGACTGGTGTCCAAATGATCAAAATTATCATGGTGGCCGAAAAAATGCCTGTTGCCTTGTTGGACTAGAGGGGTATTGAGAACAGGACATCTTACATGCTCTTTTTTGTTCCCTTTTCCTTTTTCCTTCCATGTTCTACTTTATTTTTAAATGGAAGCGTGTGCTGAAATGGACCTGCCTTGCCCTGTCCTGCCCTCCCCTCCCCTCTCCTCTCGTGGCATATAATACCAGGTGAACCAAAATCCGATGCATTCATTAGACAAAGTTTATTATATTTTGTCACTTTAGTATATTGAATTGCTTCTCTTCCAGTATTTGAATGATCAATTAGTTTTGGCGCTGGACCAGGATTTCATATTTTTTAGCCTTCTCAACATTAATCCTGACGGGAGACAGCTCTATTGATTGTTTCCTATTGTCACACACGGTTTCTTAGGTGATCGGAAGGACCAGAAGACTTTGGAAAAGCTGAGAGCTGAGAGGCAAGCAAAAATAGATGAACTTAAAGAGAAGACAAATTACTACATTACCCAACAGCTTATACAGGTGATAACTGTAAACTAGCTGTGTTTCTGCTTTTATTATTCATTTATCCTTCATGCATGTAGTTCTCGCCAAGCTAGCAGCAGAAGTGGTTGCAAAATATGCAGGCTAGAAAGAGTTGATTTATCTCGCTAAAGCATATTCCCTCCTCCTATAAAAATAGTCTTGTTATCCTTTTTTGTCTGTTCCAAATTAATTATATTCATGTTTATTATTTGAAAGTTTAGTTAATATATTAGTTTTCTAATATGCTCCTATTTAATTTGTTTTGTTATCACAAATATAAATCACTCTATTATTCAATTGTAGTTGGAACAATAAATTAAAAACCAAAAAAACATTTCATCTTCCTTGACATTTATTCATTTGTATTTGTATTTGTATTGGATGACTTTGGAATGTTAATTATATTGAATAATGCATGCATAATTTAATTAACTTGAATATTGATTATACTAATTTAGGGCTATATTAGGAAAAATGATAGTAAAATTTATTATTTCAACTATATTAACTAAATTTTCTTAATATGTGGAAATAGAATTATCTTTATGGGACAGAGGGAGTATTTGGTTAATCCTAATAAAAGATGTACAGTTACGTTTTAGTAACTTTTTGTCTCCAAATATGTTTGGAAAACTCATTTGTTACTTTTAATTAAAATAAAGGTTATTTTTTAAAATGAACTCTTACCTTACTCTACTCATTTTTTAAACTTTGACCAATAAAAAAATAATTTATTTATAGCTTATTTACTTACAAGAAGGGAACGTTTTAAAGCTTAGCACACATGCCGTAAGTTGTGTCTCCCTGATTTCCATATAACAAACATGCCGTCCCTCATATAGCTGATTTGGAATATACTAGATTAGATCCTTATATTGAGTCTTCAGTGCAGAGGTACGACCCTGACCCAGCAGCCAAGGCAGCAGCTGCAAGTGTACTTGCATCCAAGTTGGGTGCTGATTCAGGTCTGAAAGTATATGTGGGAGAAGAGAATAAGATGGAGGCCCCTACTGGAAGGAGCAATAACGTGGAAGTTGCAAGGACTACAGGACTTCGAAATAGGAGGGCATCTCACTCTAACTTTGAAGGCCCAGAGACTGCATCTGTGTTCCATCCTGAAGGTGTGCTTAATCAAACTGAGTTTGAGGGCCTTGATGACATTTCTCAGCAACATCAGTTGGTTGTTGAACATCGCCCTCAAACAGGTGGAAGTTCACATGATGGGGGGTGGTTTGCAAGAATTGCAGCATTGCTTGTGGGAGAGGACCCCACACAATCGTATGCACTTATATGTGGAAACTGCCATATGCATAATGGTAAAATAATATCAAGTTATTTGTAGTAGCAGCATTTTAATTGTGCTAATGTAAGATCACATAGGTTACTCGTGTTTTTCTTTTCATTTTTTGCAGGACTTGCTAGGAAGGAGGAATTTCAATACATAACGTACTATTGTCCTCACTGTAATGCGTTGAATCGGCCTAATAAAGTGGATGAACATGTTCCTGGTGGATTAAATTCCCTGAATCCGACTACTATGGACAATGCTGAGGTTGTAACAAGTGCCAGTGGTTCTGTTGTTGACACGGATTCTGTCAGCAGTACTCCTGTGGCTGCTGCTGCGGAAACAACGTTGGAAGGTAGTTGAAAAATTGTGTGAATGTTGATTTGAAGAGGTTATAAGGAGGATTTTTATATTTCCTGATTGTTGCGGGTGAGAGGTTTATTTGTTACTTTATTGCGAACAAAGCATTGTAAACTAATCTTTGAACACGAGATTTCATATACAGGTAATCAACAGTCAATATTTTTTACTTCTTTGTTTCTTCAATTGGTTGCTCAGTTGCATCAAAATGGTTGAAAACTTGAATTCTTCATGTTCAAACTCTCAAGTATTTTTTGAGCAAGCCAAGGCTCTATTCACGAGTTGTAACTCTTTCTCGACCTTCTAGAAATTGAGATTCATGTTATGTCTAACTAATAATGTTTAAATTACAATTTAAACGGCAGGTTATACACATTATGTGGATAAAAAGTGAGTAATAAGTTGTAAATTCATTAACTGTGTGGATCCAGTGTGTTTGACTCGTTTAAATTGTAATTTAAACATTGACAAACATGCAATTGGTTGAATTTAACTTCTGAAGGAACCAAACTGGAACGGTCAGTTTGGTTCCATTTGTAGAGTAGAACCAATAGTTCTATTTTAATTACACACATTGGTACGATTTGGTTTTGTACCCATCAATAGGGACGGAAAATGGTGATGGAAGAAACGAGGTGATTCAAGTGGTAACAAAGCAATGTAATTCAATCAGGAAATGAGAGGTTGCGGGTATTTTCTGCACTACCTCTAGTGCTAACAAATACAACTACAATTCTCTATATAAACCCAAGTCACATATTTTCTCAAAATCATTCAACAGCGGCCTGATCAATAGTCATTTACATAGAATTGAAGGTTAACGCCTACAGTCGCTTTACGCCAAATCATCCTGGACTGGTCAATTCAGAAAGCTAACTTGCCCAGTTTCTTCTTCTTTCTTCATTGTTGGTACCCTCATGACGTACACGGGAATGCCGTAGTTACTGGGGGCAAGTGTCGTGCATGAAAAGCCAGTTGGCAGTTTTAATACATTTTCAGTGATAGAACACAACTTTAAATCTCCAATGATCCTCTAGAAAAAATTATAAATGTTTCTTCCATATACCCAGAAATCCATTTGCAAGAGACTTCAAATTTTCCCAAACTGATGATTTCCCTTGAGATTCAGCATCTTCACTTGGCTCTTTGTACAACTCCCTATGTCAAAAAATAATCATAACTTCTTAACGAGAACGTACGACTTTCCATGTATAAGTATACAACAATTTTCGTAATATCTTATTAATGAACTGGACATTCCCCGTGTGTTATATAACTAAATGCATATGCATAAAAACACACAGAGATTTCAGCCTGCCACGAGGAAAAAAGAATGCCAGGTGGCAAATTCCACCAGTTAACATACCTAAGGTACAGTTCAAATACAATGAACATTGCTGCTAACATGTCAAAGTATGAACCAGGAATAATGAGAATTACCATGATGACTTTCGTTGCTTAGCCTTGGGCTTCAGACCATCAAATTTCAACTTATCTTCAGACCCTGTATCCTCTTTCACATTATCCTCAGGTTTCTCTGGATGTGAATGCATACTTTCTTCAGCTTCTCCTACTCCTCGATGAGGTTTAGTAGCAACGTAGTTAGAATTTTGATTCTCCATCAAAATCTTGTTACGGATTTGACCATCTTCACTAGTATCTGCATCGAATGTAGAGAAATTGCCTGAAACTTCTGCAGCGTCAGTTGAAGATTCACTGCCCTTGATGAATTCTTCTCCCACTAGAATTTCATTTGTCTTTTGAGCATCTTGAGAAGTAACAGAACTGCCCGACAACTCTTCAGTTGACATCACATTCTTCTTTGTACTATAGTTTTCCACTGAACTTAAATCCTTTGTGCACATGGATGACATTTTAGAGTTGTATTCCAGCTCCTGAAGGATCTGCCTAATAACATAGTAAGAGCCACCAGTCTCTTTCCTAGCCTGGGAGGCAGTTGGGAATTTCCCTGCATTCATGGCTTTATACCTGCCAACCAGTAGAACACAATTAACTTATATTACAACCCTGAACCCTCATAGAGAAATATCACCAATAAAATTAGGAACTCAATAACCATACCAAATTAGTTCTAAGATGTCACGCACCGCTAGATTTTGAATATTTTATCTAGTGTTTTTATTCAAATATAGATTAGGTGAGAAGTTAAAATAACCATTAGTCATGATCATAAAACACACTTGCAAACTTAGTGCAATACATGAGTATAGCCACCCCCCTTCCTTCATGGGGTATATGTCTCGATGTAAGCAATGCATGAATAGCACTTGATTGACCACTACCCCAACACCTCTCAGAGGGGAGTGAAAGAGGAGATCTATTTCCCTATGCAAGTTTCTCAGACAATTATTGCGTCACTAGTGAGAAAAGTAACAAAAAGAGCGCTTCTTCAATCCCATACAAAACCTGATAGCATTTAATCCTAAATTCTGTCTTACAATGTAAATTTCATTACTAACTGTGCCAAAAGTTGGGCAATCTAATTGACATCTTTGACTAAAATGATTTCTAAGAGAGTAATCACCAAGTACAAAATCCTAATAACTTCGAGGCATATTTTATTACAGTTCAGCAACTATATTGATTTGAAATACCATTTTATGAAAGTATGAAATGTGGTTACACAATGTTCTGTCAGTTGAGAACAAAATAAAATACTGAGATTCCATTTGGCATCAAGCATCAGCTTCTCTTCAAACTGATCATAAGATGTCCAAATAAAGACAAGAGAGAACTCTACAGAAACAATGAAGGAATACATTTCTGATGTATTCATACACGGCATCAGTTGCAGATAACAATGTCAACATAACCTAGCAACTCAAAACAAAGCAAGGGTGAAAGAAAGATACTTGTTAACAAAAGTTTCCACCATGGCTTTACGTTCATCCTTTGAGACCTTTATCCGAGATTTTTGGACTTCGGGTGTTTCAGAAGGAACGGAAGCAGAAAATGACCTTCGACGTGACTTTATAATAGATTTGTACCTGATACTGGATTTCTCAATGTACACTGCAATGCACCCAGATAGAAAATATTGTGAGAAAAACAGAGAACCAAAGTATCTCTTGACACGAAATTGCATAGGATTCAGTGTTTTTCTCGAGTTAAACCTGAAAAAAAAAGTTCAATGCAAAATCATTATCATCTGTTGCTGAATTGAATCTAATCTCCAATCACAAGAAACTGGGCAGAAACTTTATTGTAATAAACATGAGCACGACATAAGCACGAGTCTACATTTTAGTTTTCTGGAATTTTTAAGATCTCTTACACATGTAATATTCCTGTAACATTTACCTTTAACTAGCACATGCCAGTTCTTCGTGGAAATTCGTTTGAAAAACAAGAAAATGAAGGAGCGGCTTACATACATTTTAACACTTTGAGATAGGATTGGAAACAAAATATAAATCATTACAATCAAGTAAAAGAATAAGATATCTTTCAGCAGGGAAAAAAAGAAAAAGAACATAGGATACACCAAAAGATCCTTCCAACTGAGAGTACGTATCACATCAAAAGATGAAACTATTATGTTCCTTATCCATAAACGCACGAGCGCAGCTAAACATTGACTGGGGATTTAGTCGCATCATGATTCATAAACCATTCCACTTTTGCTGTGCTCTGCAGCTCAGCCCACAGCTCTTTGCCTACCTATTTCAAAAACCATTTTCTATTGTAGCTCAAAAAAAGATGGAATAAGTAAATCAAATATAATTGAATGTTAGATTTCATTTTAAGTGAAAGTAGGCGCAATGAAAGTTTTTTTTGCTTGTTTATAAAGTCCATCTAAGAGTTGGTGTGCTCCAAGCCATGCTTTGGGTTTGCATCACCCCTTACAGTGAGGGGGGCATGAAGTAAATCGAGAGGAGGAAGAGAAGGCTTGGAAAAAAAAACATGTGGAAGTACTACTTCTATTACAATAATAATAAGCAATAAACTTGTATGCGAATAAGTCGCGGAGGGATTGCCTCTATCACGAGATGTAATGCTAGTTTACCTATCCAATTTACGATAAATAGAGAGAGCAAAAATTATATGGCCTATTTCTCATGAAAATGGCGCACGAGCTACTACCCAGAAGATGGACACAAACCGCTAAAACAAGAAGAGGAATAAATGAATGAATTGGCTAAGAATGATTTTATTTTTATTGGATTTGTAATAGTGAAAATAAAATAGATCCCTATGCCATACTAAATTTACTGAGTTTAAGGTGATCCCAATGCTCATCCAAATTTATACATCCCATGCACTAGTATTTCCCAATTAATAAATTATTTACACGCCTTACATATCAAAAGAATTAAATTCCAGCTCCAAGTATATAAATTCAACTTAAACTAAAACCAAATGCAGTCGTAGCTATATTTTCAGATAAATTTTCAATTAACAAATCAACTGACAATTTATGAATGAATAAAAACGTTGCATTAAAATAATTATACCTTGACGGGGATTTGCAATATGCCGTCGAAATTGACGATAGAGGCGAACGTTGGGAGACCAGAACATACTCCGGTCAAGTCTCATATCACCCACAATAATGAACTCTGGTTGATTTATACTTTAATTTTGAAGTGATAATAAACACCAACCCACTCTACAAAAATTAAAATAATATGAAGAAAACAAAAAAGAGTAAACAGAACATGTAGATCTTCAAATACCAAAATAATGGTTGCCGTGGCGTGCGGCGTAAAGAGGCTTGGTGTAGCAAGTACAGGGAAAGCTCTACAATGGGGTCTTAAACCTCAGTGCTCACTCGGATGTTTGATGCAAGAAAATGCATTTTGCGATGTGACGTTAGGTAAAATATGTGGTTAAAAAATTAAAAAAAAAATTGAATTTATGTGTATTATTATTATTATTTTATTTTATTATAATTGTGGATGTTCGGATAAGTTTGCACGCACCTCGACTAATTCCACGAACCCTGAAATTTATGACCGGATACTCACCTCAGTGACTTGAGGGGACTTGAATCGATGACCATTGGGGAAGTATTATTTTATTGAAAAATATGTTGTTGAAAATGGTATTGGAAAAATAAATTTTGAAAAGAATGTGAATCAAACGTGAGCTTAAATGTTTTATTGAAAACATACGGATTTTCGTTGAAAATAAAATAAAATCAATAAAAATTGTTCATATTCAAAATCCTTCAAAAAAAAAAAAAAAACTCTAAAACAATATCATAAAATTCTAAAACATTTCTAATTACATATCATGATTGAACCATTAACCACCGTCGATTGCTCGTCTAATCCTCGACCGCCTCGAATCATTGATTATTGATTACCTATAAAATAATTACATATTTCATGTGAGATTGTAATCTCAATAAGTGAAAACAACGTAACATAGAAATAATAATAATAGAAATCCATGAATTCGTGAACATATTTGATGAGACACAAAATTATAAGAATCGAATTTCGTGATTCTAATTTCGTGCGTAGCGCTACTAAACTTCATGATTTCTTAACATAAGCATAATATTGATTTCTGTAAGTTTTTTAATATTGAAGTACGTGTATTTCACTTACCTTGAATCTTGAATTTGAAATTGAATTTGCACGTAGGAGAAATTATGTTTTGCTGTCCAAATGTTCGTGTGTTTGTGGAAGTATATATATATATATATATATATATATACTTCCACAAACACACGAACATTTGGACAGCAAAACATAATTTCTCCTACGTGCAAATTCAATTTCAAATTCAAGATTCAAGGTAAGTGAAATACACGTACTTCAAT